CATCAGCCCCTGCCCTCCACCCCAGGGACCGTCAGGGCTGTGGGGTGCCCTGCTCTGGGTGTCCGTGCCAGTATCAGCGTGCTCAGGGCTGGGGGATGCCCTGCTCTGGGTGTCCCTGCCAGGATCAGCGTGCCCAGGGATCCTCAGGGCTGGGGGATGCCCTGCTCTGGGTGTCCATGCCCGGGGCCCGGGGCCTGCTCGGGGCTGGCTGAGCCCTTCTAAGGAGGCTCCGAGCGGCCTCGGCTGCAGCTGCCCGAGCAGAGCCTCAGAGATCCCCGCCAGCCCCGGGCGGCCGCAATGCGAAGGGGAGGCCAAGGACCGAACGCCCGAGGGAGGCCTCGAGCGGGGCTCCCTCAGCCGGGGAGCGCCGCCGATGCCCGCAGCGCACGGAGGGCACCCACCGTCCGTGACCGGGGCCGGCGCGCTGCGGACCCGCGCCTGTGCGGCATCACTTGTATCGGCCGGCTCTTCCGCCCGGAGCGGCGGCGGCGGAAGGAGGAGGAGGAGGAGGAGGACGAAGAAAGCCCCGAGCCGCGGCGGCGCCGCCATGGCGGCCGCCCTTAGCAACGGCGCGTTGCCAGGCCGCGCGGGGCATGACGGGAAGGGCGAGTCCCGCTCTCTTCTCGCGAGACTTGGGGGGCGGAGGGGAAGGGCCGCGCCCGGAACATGGCGGGCAAAGGGAGGGCACAGCCCCGGGTATCTGCGGCTCGTTCGGCCGCCCTCGGGCTCCCTCATCGCCCCCCAGCGCAGGGAGCCTCGGGGAAAGGCTCTGCGCAGGGTTCTGGCTGGGTATGGTGGTGCCAGGCGGACGCTTGTGCCACCCAGCGCCCTCAGGAACGGCCGGGCGGTGATGAGGGGTCGGTGCCCCCTCGGAGCCACGGGAACGGTTCAGGTGTTGTGGTCCAAGTGTAACCCTCAAAGGTGGTTCGGGAAAAACTCTTGGAAGGCCCCGCATTAAAAAAAAAAAAAAAAAGGGAAATGGCCCAACATCAGTAAAAAAGGGCTGATGGCATTGCACAGGGGAAAACAATTTAATACATTCTTCTTGCATCAGGAATTACTTGGCAAAGCTGATGGCGCACAGGGGACCAGACTCCAAGATGAAAAGCAAGCCTTGCTGAAATGTGAAAGCACAGATTGCACCCTGGATGAATGTGGGCAGGAGCTGGATGAATAAAGAGGTATTAATTCTTACTGCATCTACCATTGAAATGGAATAGAAGTGGGCAACTGTTCAAAAGCAAAGTAGGATGGAATTAATCTTGGTTTTCTCGTGACCTTTTTTTTAGGGCTTCACTCACAGCAACAGTTCACCTAAATCCACTTAAAATACTTGCTGTAATAGGAAAAATCCCACCTTTGTCATGCAGAGAAAGGCAAGACATCTAAGAAAAATCATTTTAAAAACTCCCCACCACAAAACTCACCCTGGTATTGGACTTCTGAAACAGGTTCCAAAGAGCAACTCCAAGTGTGTAGGATAAGATCGGGACATCAATACACAATGCTTGTTCTCCATCAGATTTAATTTATCCTGTCAACATTAGCTAATTAATAATTAAAAAGGGCACTGTGATCCTTATGTGGGAGGTCCTATAAAATGAAAATTCAAGCAATTTGAGAGGCAGTAGATTCCTGTTTATTCAGAAACATGTTCAGGGATGTACTCTATGACTGTTTCAATTACAGTTTCAGCAGCAAGATTCTGATGTGCATTTATGCATTATGAAAGCTGTGACTGCCCCATCCCTGGAAGTGTCCAAGGCCAGGCTGGAGCAACCTGGGATGGTGGAAGGTTCCTGCCCATGTCAGGGCGTGGAATGAGATGATCTTTGAGGTCCCTTCCAAACCATTCTGTGATTCCTGTTGGTGATTTCTGACTCCTCACTGGGAAGCCTCATGGGGTCCTTCTCACATTAGTTTTCTTTTTAATCCAACTGTGCTGTCTTGAACTTCATCTTTCCAGGGCTAACACGAGGTTTGCCCTATGACAGATCACTTTACAAGTCCAAGTGGACAGGCATTTGGAATTAAGAGTCCAAACAAAGTCAAACCAGGCTGAAATAAACTGCATTTTGGTCTAGCACAAGATTAGCCCTTAAATAAATAAATAGTGATGAGCTGGGGCAGCCTGTACAGCAGATGGCATTACAGGTAACATTTATCACACTCCAGTCTCAGGGCTCACATACTTGGGAGGGAGGATTGACGTCAGCTCCCACTGAATCAGTTTTAAAACAAGCTGGAAACCTGCTTGTGCCTTCAGCAGCTGATTAATTTGTGCAGCACTTCTGCTTTGCACTCCCCAGTGCATTTATTGGTGTGGACAAGCCTAGCAGGAAGAGTTCATTCTGTTTTTGCAGCTTAAGTGAGCTGATGTAAATAGATCTTGGACTTTGAGGTGGGAAGATTCCACCCAGCTGCAGTAACCAGGGGGATGCCCTTTGGTCCAGTTTTGGTGCCAAATTTGTGCATTGGGGAATTTTAAACAAATATCACTTGGCAGGGTGTCGACTCTCAGGGTACAAGAATAACACTGAGGAAGGCAGCAGGGCATGGCTGGGAGGGATTTACAGGGAGAACTACCCACACTGACACTGAACAGTGCAGAAAACCAGTTCTGAAGCATTTTAGTAAAAATAGTTGGGGTTTTGTGTCACAGGAGCTCAGAGATCCTCTGAATGAAAACCAGGAGCAGTTTTTTTTGTCTGGGTACAACGTCCTCGTGCAGGAGTGACAGAGTTCATCAAAGGTTACTCATTACCATGTACATTTTGAGGTTGTCTGGCTGTCTGGACAGACTTGAGTGGGTGGCCTGAGGTAGGATCATGGGATCATTAAGATTGGAAAAGACTTCCAAGATCAAGCCCAACCTTTGACCAAATATCCCCATGTATCACAAAGTGCCACATCTCATTTTTTGAGCTCTTCAAGGGGTTGTGACTCCACCACTCCCCAGGGAGGCTGTTTGAAAGATTCTCAAGGATGGAGGAGTGTGAAGAGCTCCTGGTGTGCCCTGGCTTGGAGCGTTAGGGAAGCACAGAGTGGTGCTCTGCCAAATGAGTCTGTCAGCCCTGAGCTCACGATGTTCCTCAGTGTTTGAGCCGTGGCTGCTGGGCAAAGTGGCACAGAGAAAACCCTTCCAGCCCTGGAAAACTCAGCATTGAGGCAAGGAGAACTGAGCTTTAGCTGGGGGCGTCCCAGGCTGAGCAGCACAGCCAGGGAACGCAGGACAGGTCACCTTGCACCAGCCTGAGCAGCACAGAACGAGGGTCAGGCCAGGCTGGGCTGGAACGAGACAGGACCTGGACAAGGAAGAGGAAGAAGGAGACTCAAGGAAGGGAAGGAATGATTCTGTTGGGGAAGCTCTGCAAATATGTGCTTCCCTTTGCTGATAAAGGAGGGTGTGAGAGCAGACAAACAAGGCAGCTCCTCTCAGTGCCTCACACCCTGGCAGCAGCACTCCCTTATCTCCAGCACCTTGGCACATTCAGCTGTGCAGCCATTGCCTAACCCACCACTCTGGGCCTGGGCTGCTCCTCCTGTTCATCCCTTTCTCTCTGTTCTAACACGAGGATTTTTAATTTTTTTAAATAAGTTTGGGTACAATTTCGGCTTTAGCTGGATAATTCTCACACTTTGCTCAAAGCCTTTAGCAGTGTGAGAGGGGCAATATTGTCTCTGACAAGGTGCACAGGGACACAATGCCTCCCTGTGATAACGAGGGTGCTTTAGCAGCGTTAGCAGCGTTCCGTGGTGGATGGTGGCACAGAGCTCTTCCTTTCACCGCAGGCAGCTCGTGGGGCAGGTTTCACACCTTCCCCTGCTGTATTTACACCTCCACTATTTGTTGTCTCGGGTTATAGAAGTGGCAGCAGCCTCTCGTGCCTGTACACAGAAGAATTAAACGAATTTGCAGAGCAACCTGCTGGGAACTTCCAAGGGGACAAACCCATTGTTTGCACACACACGACCAGCAGAAAATGAGGAATTGGGTCTTTTTGGGTCTCTGCAGCACTGATGCCTTGAAGTCGTTGCTATTGAAGTTGTCCAGCTGAGCGCTTTGTGTCACTCTCAGCTACAATCATCGTGCCTTTATTTGGTTTGAGCCGTGACTGCACAACACACCCTTCTCGTGAGGCTTTTGTTTGGCATTTCACGTTCCTTAACCAAAATGGATTAACCGCCAGCCTTGCACGGGTTTGCAGAGCTGGCGGTGTCCCCGGTGTCCGCTCCGAGCCGGGCAGAACCGGGCGAGTCCCGCTCGGAACGAACCAAAGCCGGCCCAGCTCCGTGACTCACATAACCGTTCTCAGCAGGCACGGGGCACCGCCGGCCAGCGACTCCCCGCCAGTTATTCGGAGCACGCGAGACACGCGGGGCGTGGAGGGCAAGTATGTGGGTTATGCGCAGCCGCGCTGTGCCCGCTGTGAGAGCGTTCATTAATTGCGTTAATGGCGTTAATTGCGGCCGGCGCCCGGCGGGGGCGGGGGCGCGGACCCCACTCGGCGCCGCGGGGGCTGCCGGGAGCCGCCCGCTGTTATTGTCCCGCAACATGCAAATGAGGCGGGGTGGGGAGCCAATGGGGGGCGGCCGCGCGCCGCTACCGCGCACGCGCGCCGGGAGGCGGGGAGGGGGCGGGGCCGGCCGTGCGCCCCGCCCAGCGCCGGGGCCCTCACCTCACCTCAGCACGCGCGGCGAAGATGGCGGCGGCGGCGGGCGGCGGGGCGCGGGGGTGGCGCGGGCGGCTCTGACCGGGCACCGCGGGCGGCGGGGAGCGAGCCCGGAGCGAGCCCCGAGAGCTCCGCGGGCAGCGGGGAGCTGGCACGGCCCCCCTCGGGGGGCGGGAAGGGTGGCGCGGAAGGCGGGGGCGCTGCCGGCGAGCCCGGCCGTGAGGGGCAGCGTGAGGGGCAGCGCGGGCCGGTGAACCGCAGCCGCGGCCGGAGGGACGAGGCTCCGCGGCGGGCAGGGCTCGGAGCGGCGGCGGCGGCGCGGGCCCGCGGGCAGGGGAAGGAAGGCTGGCGCCCTGCGGCTGGCGCTCGGCGGGCAGGAGGCGGCTGCGCCGGTGGCTCCCCGCGTTCCTGGCGCTCGGCTGCTGGGCGCCCCACGCCATGTTCTCGGTGCTCTCCTACGGCAGGCTGGTGGCGCGGGCGGTCCTGGGCGGCCTGTCGCAGACGGACTCCCGCGACTACAGCCTGGTGACGGCCAGCTGCGGCTTCGGCAAAGATTTCCGCAAGGGCATCCTCAAGAAAGGCATGTGCTACGGGGATGACGCCTGTTTCGTGGCGCGGCACCGCACCGCCGATGTGCTGGGTAAGTGGCCGGGCCGGGGGCTGGGGCGGCTGCGGCCTCGCGGTGTGACCCCCCCCTCCTTCCCGGAGCTGCACATGGCGAGCGCCTCAACGCCGGGCTCAGACAAAGGAGCCGCTGCTGCCTGTCAGTGTCACCGTGAGTTCGCTTTTTTAGCTTCCCAAGGAAGCTCTCGGGCTCTTTGTTGCAGCTCTGCCCGCCTTTGGCATGGGGGATTGTGTGTGCCGGGTGTCCGGGCCCAGTCTGGCGTCTCACCTGTGGGTGTCTGTGAGGCCTGGTGGCTCCAGAACTCAGAAACAGCTCTCCCAGTGCGTTTCGCTTTCTGTCTTTCTTTAAAACCCGAGCCCCATGTACATGCATTGCGTTTAAACAGACAAGATCGCTTGAACAGGCACTTCCTGATTTTAACGCGTGCAATGTCCTTGTCAAGTGAAAGGCAGAGTGACATTGAGACTGGAATCAAATGTCAAACTTCAGTTTCGTTGTTTGTTCTGGCCTGATTGCCCTCTCTGGTTTTGAATCACTGGCGAAATGAATCTTAAGGGTTCAAATTTTAGAAGAGTGAGTAATTATGGAGAATCAATAGAATCTTCAGACTATGAGCAACACTGCTTTTGACAGTGCTTTGACCTTTCTCCTGTGTACTCAAGGTTGAATTTGGCTCTGACACTCTGCACAAGTTAGTCGTGGTGTAACTACCAGAAGCAAATTTTTACCAAAACTTTGACACTTAAAAAAAAAGCTTCCTCCTCCTTGCCCCTGTCCGTGGTTTTTTGTTTTGGTTTTTTTTGTTGTTGTTTTTGCATTTATGTATTTTATACCGGTGGGGTTGCCCTGTGCTATCTCACGCTGTGGAAGTGGCTGGTGGCTCTTCAGTCTGGCGCTGTCGTTGTAACTTGGTTGCCATTTACCAGAGCCGAGAGGTTTTCCTCAGGAAGCTGCAAGTTGGTGCTAGGTAACAGTTATTGCTGCTTGTTCTTAGAGAAGCTGTTACTGTAAGAGTGATGCCGCCGGTCTCAAGATGTGGAAGGTTGGTGGGTGCATTTCAGACACTCATCATCTTCTCTGTGGTGCCTTTTCCAGATAAACTTTGGTGGATTAGAATTAGCTGTTGGACACCCTTCCTTTAGCATGTGACTAACCCTGGCTGCCTTTAAAGTTCATGCTAGACCAGCACTGATAAATAACTGAGCAATTGCTGTTTGCCCTTAAGAGAAATGCAGGATCCCCTGTACTTTGAAGTGGACTCTTTGTGTGGGCAAGAGACAGATTTAGCCCTATTTGATGGTCTTTATGGGTTTTGGCCATATTTGGTAATTACTGTATGTGGACCTACAGTTTGTCTTGTGTTCCTGCTGGAATCAACAGAGGGTTGCATTTCTAAGTTGGTCTTTGCATTCATTTTCATGACAACTTGGAAACAAACAGAATTGTAGCTCCACTTAAGGATCAAACAGCAGAGAGAACAGCTGACCCAGGATGTCCTAAGTACCAAGAACCAAATAATTTAAACAGAAAGCCTGTTGGTTTGTTTGATTTTGGGATTTCTCCCCTAGTAAAGCTATTTTTATGTCAGTTCTTTATTGCTTTTTTAAAGCCCAAAGTCTCTGTACTTTCTGCAGAATGTTCAGGTGGGTTTTGATGCTTCCAGCTTGATGCTCTTTCATCTTCATCTGCAGCTCCTAGGTTTACAGACATGGTTTTCTCCAGTTTCTACTGCTGGGGTCATCTCTACTTTCTCATCCAGCCCTTTTGCACTGCTGCAGAGACACTTTCAGTACCACCAGAGTTTTCCTGCCCTCAATTCCTCTTATTCCCATCACAATTCTGAGGTTCCTCATTATTTTTTTTTAAGCCCCTCCTAAATTTTGTGCTACCTCAGTACCAAACTCTGCACCTCAACAAAACTCCCTGAGCTGCACTGTTGGGTTTCAAACTTCATTTTTTGACATTTAAGGAAGAGGCTCACGTGGTTTGAGGCAAAATGAGCACTTGCCACAGTAAATTCCAAGTGTGCCACTTGGAGTGAGGAGTGTTCAGAGCCAAAGGCAGGTGATGGATGTGGCATTGCCGTGTGCCAGTGCCCTGTGCACAGCCTGCCTGTGTGGGATGGCTTGGGTGTGGTGGAGCAGTGAGGGAATACTCCCAGCCACTTGGCATGAGTGCTTGGGGATTCATTTTCCTAGGTCAAACAAGAGCTGGCTTGGCAGTGTGTTTATAGCAGAATCAAAATGCTAAACACTTCTTTTGTTGTCAGTGTGCTGTGCAGTTCAAAGGCTGAATGTTGAACAGTGTCTTTAGTCTGAGCTTTGTCCTTTCACAGTAAGATCAGCAGAAGGCTGATGAAGGTGCAGGTTCTTTCCAGTCCTCCCGTAGTTGTTCAAGGCTTGTTGCTGGTGTACTTGAATCCTTGAGGGTTTTGTCTCTCATTTTTGCTTTTATCTGGAGCATAATTGTCAATTTTGCATGTTTTCCTCCCATTCTGAGCACAGGGAGAAATGAGAAGCTCAGAACAGGAGTTTTTCCTTAGGGATCACCCTAAGGAAAGGAAATGGCTTTACTGCTAATGTTAATCTCTAGAGCTTTACAATCCAGCCTGTTTCCTTTCTCTGCTGCTTGTACCACGATGTGCTTTTCTGTGCATTCACTGCCAGTGTCTGGGGTGTTCAGATGCTCAGATATTGAAATCTCTCACAGAGATTTGGGGGATGTTCTGTACTGCTCAATGTGTGATGCCTTTGGAACTTTTGAGGACAGAAATCCTGTTTTTCTCAGAGCTGAAAACCAAAACTCTGACACCTCTGTCTTTTCTCATTAGCATGCAAGTAGGATTTTTACTACATAGGAAACGAGCCAAATTTTAAAAATTAACCCAAACAGTTTTACAGTCATTTCACTAAATTATCAAAAGTAAGAATTAAAGCCAAGGTTTTCACCTCTAGAAATGTTGAGATGTCACATGCTGGTGATAGTTTTTTTCCTTAATTTGGGGATCTGCCTTTCCTTGCTTGTTGTGGCCTTATCAGGCTCCCGATGTCTTTGCTGTTTTTATGGATTTTCCGAGCTGTTGTGTGAGTCATTATTGAAACATTGCAGCAGCCAGTGCATCCCGTGACAGCATCACTTATACAATGTCTGTGCTGGGCACAGCTCTGCCTGGAGCCACTGGGACTTGACTCTTCCAAACTATTCCTGTCCCCTGGAGTAAGGAAAAACTGACTGGCTGCAGGAAACTGTGTGTTCACTGCAGAGTTAAAATTTGACAGTTGTTCTGTTTGCTGCAAATCTTTGATTTTTAAAGTTTTTGGAGTGTCTGGGTGCTGCAGGGCAGCTACTCTAAAGTGAAAGGAGCTGCACGTGGTTTGAAAATGTTATCAGCAGCCTGCATAGGAGGTAGATAAAGCTGCAGAGTGACAAAGCCCTGGAATATTGGTAGTGCCATCAGGAAAAGTAAACTTCAGCACCTCAAAGGATTTGTGGGTGAAATGTCAAGGTTGTTCTGGCAGCTGTAGAGGAGGGAGGGATCCTTCCTTGGAAGCCTGAAGGTCAGAGAGGACTGTGTTAAGTGGTTTATTTGGTATCATACCTATTAAAGAGATTGCTGCCTTATCACAACTTATCACACTGAGAGTTGCCCTCCTCCCTCGGAGTCACCTTTCACCCAGTGCCTGGGAGGGCTCAGGGAGGCAGGAGCAGAGCTCTGCACAGCTGCACACCAGCCTCAGCCTGGAGCAGCTCACAGGAAATTTTCTGTTTGACCTGGGAGCATCAGTGCTGGATTTGTAGGGACACTGCAGACTGAGAGCCACCCCATGAACAGTCACAGGCTGACTTTGTGTCAGCAGAGCTGCTCTGGAGCAGCATTGAATGTAACCTCTGAGAATGAAACTCATGTCTGGTTATTCTTCTTTCCCTCAGCTTCTGCAAGGACATTGCACACAAGTACTGAGGTCAGAATTTCCAGCTGAACACTGGTTTTAACTGTAAATGTAATTGATGCTTTTTGATGGCAGCCAGTTTTCCATTCATACCCAGATCTTGGCCTGAAGGAAGAGCAGGTTCTGTCAGAAATCAGAAGGAAATGAGCAAAGCTGAGCTCAGTGCAGGAGTGAGGGTTCATCCTCCCTGTGCTAGGAAGCATTGGAAAATCTCCTGCTCTTTGCTCTGGTTCATCCCTGCTGTGAGTGCTGAGCCTGAGCTGGGCCAGGCTGGCAGGGATTGATTTCAGGGTCTGCCCCCAGCCCCTGCCCTTCCTCAGCAGCTCCACAGCCACTGAACACCTTGAGAAATCAGGTAGTTGTCACTAGGGGATTTTTTATAAAGCCTGCAGAAATAATTCATAGTTCAGTGTTCTCCTGGAGCTCCCCAGATGCACTGAGTGATTTCTCAGGCTTCAATAAAATAGGGAGGAAATTTTCCTGGTAAAAATCTGCTTCAGGAACAAGTGTGCTGTAGTGGGAGGGGAAAACAGATAGAAGGAACTGCTGCTTTCCTCTGGGAGTAGATGCACAATTTAATGTTTTCAGTGTTTCTCCTTCAGTTTGCTCCTCAAGATCATTGCTCACTTTGCCTTTGCTTTTTGCTCCTTGTTGTCACTTACCCAGTTACTCTTCCAGAACCTTTCTATTTTCATGCAAGGGTAGTTTAAGTTTTACTGTACCAGTGTGAATAAGTAACCTTCCCTTCTGTAACTTGTTAGCAGTCACACACCATCTGTCCTCAGGGATTTGTATCTAACTGGGTTATTTCTTTGTCAAACCCTTGAGGGGGGCAGACACCCCTCAGCTCTGACAGATCCAGGGAAGCTGCTGAGGGTCACTGCTGGCTTTCAGCATTGAACTTGGTTTGGATGTAGAACCTGTCTAGGTGTGTGATTTATCCCACCACTGATAAAGCAAGAAATCTTATCATTTTATCTCAGTTCTGATGTTGACAAATACTAGGTGCTATATTTCAGACTTGTGTGGTGCAACTCATTGCACATTTTTTACCATTTGAGCCTCCATATTTGATGCAAAATTCAGTTATAAATATATCCTTTTGATGTTCTTTTAGCAGTGATTCATTGCTATTTCAGGTAAGGATCTCAAGAAATTGAAAGTTCAGTAGGATGTGCTGAGTGCCTTAGAAAGTTAATTGTGGTTGCATGCAAAGGCAGCTCCTGCTGACACACTTGTGCCTGCTGCTTCTCTGTGTGATTTTTATTCTTGGCTGATGCAATATTTCAAAATGTCCAACTCTCAGGAGGTTTTTGGGGCAGGGTGGTGGTTTTGGACTCTGCCCATGGGCAGGTTAATTTGCCAGCTAACCAGAACTGCCCCTCATAACATTATTTATATTAAACAGGGCTCGATCAGTATCAGGGCTTTGTTATGAACTTGCAGGCTGTTTAGTTTATATTTGCTGGGAGCCAGGAGAACACCTGGGTCTCACTCACACCAGTGAGTGGTGAAAAGCAGATATTGCTGCTTTCAGCGCTGCCTGGTTTGCCCTGGGCTCCTGCAGGGAGCTCCTGTGCTGGCAGGCAGAACAGCTTCACATTTGCATTTCAGCTGGAATCTTATCCCAGGTGCTTTTAGCATTTTGAAATCAGCTTTAACAAGTTTCACCACCAGCATCTTCCCTGGCTCAGTTTCAGTGCTGCAGCATCATTCATTTATGCTTTGTCCTGTAACTGCCTGACAGGTGTTTCTCTGAGAGAGATTTTGATATTCTGAGTCTTTGAGGAGCTGGAAAAAGGCAAGCTTTGGATTGACACATGCAGGCAGTATTTTATCTGGCAGGCATATTTCTGTGTTTTCCAGCACAAGGCAATGTAGTGGAGTGTTAACTCAGATTCTGAAAGATCTCTGTAATACAGTTAAATACTTGAGAAGTATTTATTCTTTTGAAGTAATTTATTGTGAAATTTTCAATTGCTTTATTTACAGTGGTGGTTCATCTGGCTGCAGGCATTGCCCTGTCACGTGGATGCTTGTGTAATTTCTGCATGGGCTTGAACAAGGAATAGCCACAGAAATGTTCTTTGTATAAAATTTTCTCGTTTACTGAATGGCATGAATGAAAAAAACTCTACACTGGTTTGTGTACAGTTCAGTTTCAGCAATTCTCAGCCATGCATTTTGTTTTAAATGTCCTGTGATCCCTAATTTTTAACATGGTTAATACTGGAACTCAATGGTTTATGGCTCAAAGGAAAGCCTCAGTATTCGTTGGAAATGTCATTATTTTGAATATATACCTTATTTTCTTCTTGGATGAAAGCAAAGGTATTATATATAAACAGAGCTTGGCATTATTCCTTGGGAGGGATCCTGCCAATAGCAACACCTTTGAATTTTCTTTTGATGACAGAGGGAAAACCTGGTATTAATCAAAGCTGAGTTTTTAGTTTTTGCTACTTCTGGAGTCTGAAACAGTTTCACTCCTTGTTTGCTGTGTACCAAATAGCACAAAGTTTACTTAAGCTTTATTCCTATTTATATTTCATCTATTTCATTAGCAGTTTACTCAAACTATTTCAAAGTCACATATTGCTTTCCCAGGTGAAGCTGCTCAGTTTACAGAGATTGCAGAACGTGAAGGTGCTGGGTTTATTTTAAAACCACATTGAAGGTTGGACAGGATGATTAAAGGTCTTGCCCCAACCCTTTCTAAAGCCCAACCTTTTCCAGCTGGGCCAAGAAATAGAGTTGGTGTGTGCTGAGGGGTGTGGAGGTGCCACAGGAAGGAGCCCCAGGGCTGCTCCTGGTGCAGGGTTGTGTCTGTGTGGGGAGGCAGCAGAGCTGTGCTGTGCTGGGGGATCAGACCCTCTCTCCTCTCAGGTTTGGAGCCACACAGAGCCAGAGGAGCTGTGGGGGATGCAGAGGGTGATGGCTTTGGAGGGCACTGGCAGAACCCACTTAAAGCTGTTTGTGGCTTGCAAAAAGCAGGCAGGAAGGCAGACAGACAAAGGCAGTGCCTGGCTCAGGGGAGGGTATGAAGGTGCTGCCATGATTGCGGATTCACATTTCCTGCCTGCAGTAAGAGATGAACAAAGAAAGGCAGATGGTGTGCTCATTTTTCCTTTAAAAATGGAATGGGTTTTGATGATTAACCTTCTCAGGTGCTTGCTGTGGTGGCTTTCTGGTGCTCTGTGCTAAAGCTGCAGTGTTTGTGTGTCAGGGTTTCCCAATTCTGATCTGAAAGGATTTTCTGGATTGCTTGAGGGAACTCTGTAACTTCTGCTGAGCTTTCTCTGCAAGCCTTGGGAGCCAAGAGCTTTGGGCAGCATTTGTCAAACATCTTTTCATTGCATTAACCCTGTTGGGAGGGAAGCAGTGCAGAAATACATCTGGACTGTGTTCATTTTAAAGGGCAGGAAAACAAATGTTGATCTGGTAACTTCACCTGAAGCTCCATCATTTAACCTGAATTTCTGTTTCATGTTCCAGCTCTAGAACCTTTCCTTTATGATCTCTTGCTCTAGCCTTGTCTGTGTGGCAGCAGAAAGCAAAGGGTTAATCCAGTATTAACCTCAGGTGGTGAGACCTGTAGGGAGAGGATTGATCTGTTCTTGAGGAGTAGAAAAGTCATTTCTGGGAATGCTGGGTGCTTTTGCATGAGCTTCCTCCCAGGAACTGCTCCAAGAGGTGAATGCAGGGATCTGCGTTCCTGTAACATTCTTCTGAGGAGGCACAGGGACAAAGCAGGTGTCTGAAAGGTTGTGCACTATTTTAGGGAGAAATCTGATTAATGTTGATGGGCTGTTCAGAGTCTGGCCACAACCTCCTGGCAGATTACAGTTCACGCCAAGGTCGGCTCTAAACCTTCCAGCTCAGTTTCAGCCGTGTCCCGTGTGAAGGGCACTGGGAGATGAGGAAATTGACTTTTATCTTCTCACTTGCATTTTCATGCCTTTGATCATAGTGGAGTTTTTTCCTGAGGAGACTGTCCTTCAGCACACTCTGAGCATGAAATTCACTTTTTGTGCTTTTATCATGAACATATTTCAGCTTTGCTATGTTTTGAAAATTTCTGTTTTAAATGGTTTTGTCCCCTGCTGAGGATCAAAAAGATTTTGGGAAAAATTTCCACATAGTAGCATTCTAATCTCAAATAATACCTTCAGCAGTGTTTTGCTTTTATCATTTGGGTAATTGGAAGAAGTTCAAAGTTCTCAAACCAAATGAGCAGCAGAAAATGTGTGTGCTGCTCACCTCCCTGTGATCACCCCTTTCCATGGCCACAGTCACTGTTTTCCCTGTTGCTTAGAAGCTTCCCAGGCTTTGGCAGAATTGGTCTAAATTTCCGATATCCAGGTTGTTTTGAATAACTGAAAATTCTCTGGGTCACAGTCAGTTTTCATTCTCTTGCTTGGCTGAAGCTGTAAGCAACAAACTCTCCTTGAAAGGGGCAGGTCCCAGCATTGTGTTGGTTACATGGATTTTAGAAAACACTTGTAAAATGGAGATTTATTTTCTACAGAAATTGAGAACACCAAATAGAAATCATTGTCCTTCATATGAGGAGGTTGTCTGAGAAAAAACTGTGCTGCTGAATAGCAGGAAGAGTTTCTGTGTCATTCTGTACTAGCTAAGATGTTGACCTTCACTTTTGAAATGAATAATGGACTGATGAGAGGTTAATGGGATTGAATCCCCATCTTCCTCATTCTCAGCATTAGACTTCTGCCTTCCCCTCAGCAGTTCAGATTATATTTGGAGATTTGTTGGGGACCTGATATCAGAAGTTACCTTCAAAATACTCAGAAATTTATAATGTTTTCTAGCCAGGTGCCATGTCCTACATTTTAGTTATCAGGAGTGGTGCAAATAATGAACCCCCTTGTTTTGGAAAGCATTTCTGTGGAGGTAACTGTGGTTTTGTGTTTCCTTGCAGGGGTGGCAGATGGTGTTGGTGGCTGGAGAGACTACGGGGTGGACCCTTCTCAGTTCTCAGGGACTCTGATGCGGACGTGTGAGCGTTTGGTGAAGGAAGGACGGTTTGTTCCGAGCAATCCTGTTGGAATTCTCACTGCAGGCTATTGTGAGCTGCTGCAGAACAAAGTCCCTTTGCTTGGTAAGACACCAAAAAGATGTCACTGCAGTCTGGGTTGTTACACATGGGCTTTCTGAAGCGTGCTTGGATCTCTTGTCATTGTCTGCAGCAAATCTGCAGAGTTAACTTCTCTTCATTAACTGAAGGCATAGAAATGCAGTCGCCTTGGTGGCACCCTTATTTTCTCTAAAACTGTTTTAATGAATTTAGTAATGCAGGGAGTGTTGATGTGTGTGTATTTATATATGAAATAAAAGGCTTTCTGTGGGAAGGGTGAATTCACCAGAGTTTGCAGAACGAGTTCTGCAGTGGAACACACTGCACATGTACTCACTCTGTGTTTTATATGTATAAATAACTGTTCTCTGCTGAAAACTCTTTGTGGTGCTGGCTGCAGCTTTCTGCTTCAGCTATGCAAGGAGAAATATTTTCTGAGCATAATTGGATGTAGTTCTGCTCATTTCTGGCCTAACTCTGCTCCTGTTGCCTTTTATGTCCAGTGGACTCAACCCCAGTTGGTTGACTTGAGTAGTTGATATCATACAATCTCTGGTAGCATTATTTTTATAAACTTTGTGGGGGGATTCATTACAGATCTTTCTGAAAGCCAGCTGAAGCAGATGCCTCACATATTCTGTGTCAGCATTGATGGGACACAGGGCATTCAGCAGCCTGGGGACTGGGAGCAGACAGAGGGGCCACCCTCAGCCTCAGCTGGCAGCTCTGCCAAGGGGACACTTCTCTAAAGGACATGAGACCTCCTCTGCTCCAAGAAAGTGTTTGCCCTGCACGAAATGTGCACAGCTCACCTGACCTTAAGCTCCTGTGCCAGAGCAGTGCTGTGTGAGCTATATTTAACTGTCTGCTGAGCTGGGAGCAGATGTTCTGGCATTATACCCCTAAAGAATAGGTTGGAACCTCAGGAGTGACCTTAAGTGTCACAGAAATAGCAGTGGTCAGTAATTACATTTGGGTTTGGGGTGTTGAATGGTGCTTGTTTGTGCAAAGCAGGTGTAGCTGTAAGTGAGCTCCAAAGTGGGGCACTGGCAGGAGCTCTCCCTGTGCCTTTGGAGGCTGGGCCTGACCTTTGCAGGGCTGAAAAGCAGCGTGTGCTGAGTCACAAGATCTGAATTCCACACATGGCCTCCTGGTTACACTCTGCTAATAGAGTTAGAATTTGAAACTAATGATCCTTAGTGTTTCTCCTTTAACTGAGAACAGTATTTTTAGAAGGAGGAATAAAACCCTGGAATTACCACAGCAATGAGCATTTAGAGTTTATTTAAAATAAAGGGACAGGAGAAGACTTCATTAAGGAGGATTCATTGGGCAATAATTTCTCCTTGCTGTTGTGTTTTAATCTTGGATGCTTGGTTCATCAGGATTGAATGCAGCAAATAATGGAAAATAAAACTGAAATGGGAGGAAACTGTGCCATTTATTTAATCACCCTTGTGTTGCAGCACAGTTTTGGACACTGTCACGTGGAAAATCAGATTTTTTTTCCAGAGACACTGCTTTGACTTCATATTCATTAAGGACAGGGAAGGTGCTCTGTGTTCACTGGAGAGCAGATTCAGGGCAAGTGCATTGCAGGGAACTCTGTGTATTAGCCAGGGTATTGTCTGGAACAGGCAATGCCTGGAGCCAGCTGGAATTCTGCACTAGCAAGCCTGTGGTCTGTCCAGCATGGAGCTGTGCTTGGAAAACCCTGCTGGAGGAACATGAGGGCAGGAGGTGAAGAGTTCATGAGCTGGTGATATGGGGCAGAGGTGCTGTGGCTCTGTTTCCCCCTCTTGGGGACTGAAAGGTCTTTTGGTGGCTGTGCTGTCCTGTCCTGTTTGCAGAATGAAGGACTTTGGGTTTCTTTGCAATACAGCATTTTTGTGGCTTGCAACCAAGCTCAGCTGTGGCTACTTCCCAGTGAATGAATGGAGAATTCCTCAGTGCCCTCAGGCATGGCTGGGATAGTTCCAAGCACAATTGACATAATTTTTCTGCTATTACTTTAATTTGGAATTTTATTTGTCTCTGAAACATTTGTTTTCTTAAACTTTTGGAGTTGGTGTGCTGAAGATGTGACAGGATTATTATTTTTAAACCTGAAGCAAGCTCTGCAGAGCCAGGCTGGGAGGAAAAGCATTTCATGTTCTGAGCAGAGAAATGCAGCAGGGCCTAATACTTAATTGCAAACAGTTCTTTACTTGGTGTGGTTTGTTTACAGCTGAGTGAAACTGTGTGGAGAGCTCCTAGCATTGTGTGGATGCTACTAGAATTCTATTATCTCCATGATTTTGGAATTTCAGTATTTTATGTGAGTTCTGTAAATCCGGTCCTATAGCAGAATGTGCTGACACATGTTGGGATGGAAAACTGTAAATAAAGCCAAACAAAACCAGGTATTTGTCAGCATTATGTGTTTACCAAAATCAAAGCAGGAAGAGTAAATTCTACACAAAAATCATAGTTTATATTGCAAAGATTTCTAGCATTTTGCTGGTTTTATTTTATATTAATTCTGCTATTGTTGAGTATTTCCATTTCTCTGCCTTTTAAGCTTTGATGAATGTTGTAATAATTGAACTGTTGGTCAGATCAGAGATAGAACAAGCAGTTTCTGTGGGCTGACTGCAGTGCTGTGTTGCAGGGAGCAGCACAGCATGTATAGTAGTGCTGGACAGGTCAAGTCATCGTTTACACACGGCCAACCTGGGAGATTCTGGGTTCCTGGTGGTCAGAGGGGGAGAGGTCGTCCATCGCTCCGACGAGCAGCAGCATTACTTCAACACTCCCTTCCAGCTGTCCATAGCTCCACCAGAGGCAGAAGGAGTTGTCTTGAGTGACAGGTAAGGGGGAAGAGGAATTTTAATTTTTAATCTGTGCAAAAAGCTGCAGTTTTGCTGCTGTGGGGCTCTTCTGTACCTCATAGGATATAAACACTTACCCAGTCAGGTCCTGCAGCTGCCCCCCTCCCTCTCTGGGTACCATGAACATTTCTCACCTTGTCCTTAACTTTGTACCTCTTGCACACTCTGGATTTATTGGTTTATTCATGGTGGGTTATTCCCACAGCCATGGGCTTGTTCTGATCCATGGGGAGATGTCACCCACTAGAGCTGGAGTGTGGGCAAGGCTGGGTTCCCCAGCAGAGCTTTGTTCCAATCCCTGCCTGTGCTCCCTGGGGACTCTTTGGAGTAGCTAATTTAGATATCTTGGCACTGAGGTTGCAAGTACTTGAAGAATAGAGCAGAGGGACATATGACTGTAACTTGTGTTTCCAACTTGCTGTTTCCAGCAGCATATTGTATTTGACCAAAACCAGCAAAAACACTGTTTGGCAGAACACCAAGCTGGGAATGAGAGTATGAGGAAAGGACAATCTGTTCACAGAAATGAGTTGTTTCAAAGGCAGGCTTGTTCTTGTGTCTTCCCTTAGGAATGTCAGGCTGATCCATCCTGACTTTGTGAATGCAATATGAAAGAAACTCAAAAATAAACAGCTTTCAAATATGTGTTAAAATTCAGCTTTCAGAATGTCTCAGTAATTAAAGTGATATCCTCATCTGAGCACGGGGAGGTGGTAACAGGATCCTCAAAGAATGGCCATGGAATAAAGGGAATGCAGCAGGCAGCTGAAGTGTTGGACTCAACCTGCTTGAGTCTTTTCCAACCTAAATGATTCTATGCAGAATCAGGGCTGATGCAGTAAAAATTGAGACTTTAATCCAAAGTAGCTCTTTCTGAAAGTGTTGGTTAAGCTGTTGAAACTCCTGACTGACCATTCTTGTGTGTGGTTTAATTTCTTCATCCTGCAACTGCTGAGAGGAAGCCAGGGTAGGACTCTGAAATTAGAACCCTTCAGTAATCCAAGCTCTTTGTTAGACTAAAATTAAATGATCCTTTGAAATTTTAGAGCTGTAAAAAAATCTTTCATTTTTCTGAGATTCTCTGTCATCCGTAGGAAGGCGATAAAAACAAAAAGCAGAAGGATAATTGATAATGTCCAGTGGAAGTCAGGGAAGCCAAGTAATCTGAGTCATGCAGTAATAAGGAAAGCACAAGATAAATGTGCTCCCACACTGGAGCTCTGAATCATGATTACAGCTTTCTGCTGGTTCCTGCTCCGTTCCTGACGTTAATTAGTACTCATGCTCCTTGGCGAAACGCTGCTCCTGTCCTTTTCTGTTTGTTGGCCCAGTTCAGTGATGAATTTGGCTATATATGGGCACAGGCAGGCAATCTTAACTCCATCAGCCTCCCTGAAGCTGCACATCAGTTGAGCAAAGCAGCTCCTCTGTGTTTTGGCAGAGCCCAGTGGCCTGGGATGCAGCAATTTCTCCTTTTTACAGAGCCCTGAAGAGTCTTCAAAAACGAAAGGTTTGTTGTTATGTTGCTTCTGACAATCAGATTTTGCAGCAGTATTCATGCCCAAACTGGATGTTTTCTGCTCTTGGTGTTGTGTAATGTGTTAGACACAAGCATTCCAAAAGCCTCTGGTCTCCTGGTAGTGATTTCCAGACATGTTTCATATTCCACTGAATTAGCAAGTGATTCAGAATCCTGAAGTGTTTGGGCCAGGCCTGTTATGAATTGTTCTTTCAAGTATCACTCTCTGACATCTTCTAGATGAGCAGAAGGGACCCTGAGCTGCAATTCTGCTTACTGGTTTCCTTGGAGACACACTCCTGAAGCAGATTAGTTTGCAGGATTGTTCATGTGGGAATTTAAAGTGCAAATCCTGGGTGTGGGAGCTGGAGCAGGAGCTGTTTGCAGTCCCAGGGCCGTGGTGGGGCTTTCCTGACAGCCCTTGCTGCTGCTAAAGCCCCACAGTGAGTGATCATCCCTTCCCCAGAGAGCAGTGCAGGGCTGTGGATGTGCTGTTGGAGGGTGTGTGGTGTCTGTGAGGGCTGCAGTGCTTTAACCTCTGTCCATCCCCAGCCCTGAGGCTGCTGACAGCACCTCCTTCGATGTCCAGCTTGGGGACATCATCCTGACTGCCACAGATGGGCTGTTTGACAACATGCCTGACTACATGATCCTGCAGGAGTTGAAAAAGCTGAAGGTGAGTGTGTGTGTGTGTGTTCTCAAACTCTCACACATTTTGTGCTGGCTGAACCTTTACAGTTCCTTCCTTTACTTCTGAGAGCTGAAACTTTTGTGTTGTATAAAAACCCCTCCACAAAGCTCAGTATCCTGAAAAGGCTTTTCAGGTGATACCCATGTGAGCAGTGCAAGGGACATTGAGCCCAGAGGGATTTCTCTTGGATCTGCATCCAGGCTGAGTCCAGAAGCAGCAGCTTGGGCATAAATTCCCAAATAACAGCTGGATCCATGGCAGTGACTGCTGAGGGAGGGAGAGGAGGGGAAGGGAAGGAGGAGAGAGCAGGGGCTGCCTTTGGCACACACTGCACCTGCAGGTTGGAGAGGGTACACAGGAAAACACAGAGGCCTCTCCTGGGTTACTTGAGGGTGAGCTGACACCTAAAATAACTTTCAGCTTCTCTAAGCAGTAATTCTGACATAGCATGGGCTGTGTGAATTGTGGGTTGCACGCGCAGTGAAAATCTTCAGTCTAATCTTCTGTAAAAAAAAAAATCCTGTCAACTTTTCCACATTAGTGACCACAAATGTTCTTTTTGAATAGTAAGAATACATTAAAATATTTTGGCTGAGAACATTTGGCTTCAGGCTATTTACTTAGAGAAAGGAAAGTACACTTAAGGAGATATCAATATGTATAAACCCCTTGAGGAAAGTATTTGCTGTGAAATGCAAATAAGAGCATTACAGTGTGGTGTCAGGAGAACTTGGCCTCCTCTTATCCTGCAGCTCACAGGTCCCTAATGTGTCACTGGGGCTGCAGCCACCCCACAGCCTTGTCTGTGCAGAGTTTGGCTGTCCTGGCTGGCCACTGGAGTGGGAATTCCCTTGTGGAAGAAAGCTGAGCTCCACCTTTTGGTGTGTTTGGGAAAGGCACTGGTGTTCCCCAAGAGGTTCAGCCAAAAGTTAATCACATAAATGCCTGCTAATTCCCAAACCTGCGGGGAAGGCTCTTGAAATGACAAGGCATTTAAAAATGGTTACAGACAAAAAGAGCAGTGCTTGTCTGTCGTGTTGGCTGCAGTGAGAAAAGCCTGGGAGGAAAGCAGCAGAATTACCGAAACAGGAAATAAAAAGTCCTTAAAATGCAGCCTGGAAAAAGTGTGTGTGCTCTCAGTGCATTTTTCTCATCTGAATTTAAAGTGTCCCTTCTCCCCAAGGGTGCTCCTGTCAGGTGGGGTGAGAGAGCCAGAGGTGCAGGGCTTGCACTCAGGATAAAACAAATTCTTCACCAGAGCCTGCCTGGGAGGGAGGGAGGGAGGGAGGGAAGGTCCTTGCAGGGTGCCTGCAGGGACAGCTGCCAAATGCCCTGTTCCCTTCAGGTGACACAGTTTAGTCTGTTTTGAGTATTATTCTTCTAAGCTTCTAAATTCTGGAAATCCTCCAAACCCAAGCCTTGAGCTGCTGGTGGGGATTTGGGGTCTGGCTGTCCCTTGTGAAGATCCACAGCTGTAACCCAATTTACAAAGGCTAAAGAATGGGCAAGGCTCTGTTTGCAAGGGAAGGTGAGATCAGCACAAAAGCCTCTGTAGGTTTCTGTACAAGCACAAACTCTTTTTTTTCCCCATGAATTCAGAACTCCAACTACGAGAGCATCCAGCAGACTGCACGGAGCATTGCTGAGCAAGCCCACGAGCTGGCCTACGACCCCACGTACATGTCACCCTTTGCACAGTTTGCCTGTGACAATGGATTGAATGTCAGAGGTAAGAGTTTCTCCTCCTCCCCCTGCTGCTGTCCTGGAGACATCTTTAGCAAAGTGAAGTTCTGCTGCTCCAGAATCCTGTAGGAAAACAGAACAGTAGGAATGAGGTTGGCAGAGGAGCACCAAGCTTGTGTGGGGTTTGCAAAGCCCCCAGGGCTGCACAGGGCATCCTGGGCCTGGCAGAGCAGGAGCCTCCTGTGGGGAAGCAGCTGGGGCACAGAGAACACAGCACCCTGATTGGTTTGTTTCTACTGTGATTGTGCATTCCTGCCCCAGGAATCCTGCCTGAGATGAGCTCTCCAGTTCTCCTGTTCATGACTTGGTGTGTAGGTGGTGTTGTGTGAGGGCAGTTTTTTGTTTTGGGTTTTTTTAAGGTCTCTTCTTACTGCTGTGTTTCAGCTGTTTTCTGCCCACTCTTTGGTACATTTGGGATTGGTTTTTTGGTTGAAATTTGCAACCCTTGCATAATTGGCATCCCCATAGTGATCTCTCTGGTTCTACTCTGTTCTAGAAAGGTACTGGCAAAATAGCTGGCAGAGCTCAGAGCCCAAGCAAACATGTTTCTTCTAACAATTTTTTACTTTTATATAAATAAATTAAATTCTGCCAATAAAGTTGTTCTCATCTGTGTATCAGAAGAGCAGGATTTCCTACAAGAACCTTAAGCCCCTTTCCTCAGGTAGCAGCTGTCACACCTGGGCTCTGTATTGCTCCAAGCTCAGTAGGGAGGCTGCAGATCTCCAGAGTCCAAGGGATTGGTTTGACTTCCCACATGGCAAAACCTCTCTTCTGGGCCATTTCTCCAGGATTTGAGTGTGATGCTCTGGCTGTTAGAGGATTGAAAAATAACTATTGAAAATGTTAAGTAGCTTTTAGGAAGAACTGAGGTAATGCAGTGCTGGGGAAGATGCTAAAGAGGTGTTTGATTTACAATGGAAATTCCTGAGGAGATCTGATTTCATGGCAGTTTACATGTAACAAAGCAGTGTCAGGTGTTTTGTGCATTTATTAAAGAGTCTGCTGGAAACAGGCCTTGAGCTCTGCCAGCTACCAGCAATGTTCGAGGTTCTGACCTCCTTTTCATAGTTTGATCTCACTGGAGCTTAAAAGCAGAGTGGTTTTGTTAAATGTCACTGCGCCCCTCGGTTTGGAAAGGAGGTGGGGGAGGCAGAGTTTGTGTCTACTCAAACCAGGTTTTGGACACTTTAACCAGTTTTAAAAGAGCTTTCCTTGGGGAATATCACAGATCATCAGCAGACACCCTCCTGTGGTTTGATGCAATAAGAGGCTTTTGCTTCCATTGCAGGGGGGAAACCAGACGACATCACCGTCCTTCTGTCCATCGTGGCCGAGTACACAGACTGAGGTGCTGCTGCTGCCCGAGCTCCCCGAGCTCCCCGGGCCGTTTCCTGCGGGCAGGATTGTTCCTTCCTTCCTCCCCAGCTGCTCCTGAGCCCGGAGCCTGGCCCCACAGGCAGCTGAGGCCCTTGCTAAGAACCACTCGTAGTCCACTGGTCTTGGTCTGCCAGCAAGAGATAAAGAAGCTCAAGGCTTGGAGCTTGTCTTTGAGAGCTTAGTCCTTGTCTGGAACAGGGGAGGATCCATCCCACAGCGTTGCTGCGTTGGAGATGTGACTTTCCAAGGAGTGGGATTGGCTGGGCACCTTTCACACTAGCTCAGTAGGTAACACCTCTGCACGAGGGCACATTACTCTCTTTCCTAGGAACGTTCTCTGTTGTTGAGGGTGTGTTACAGACCCAGTTCCATAAAGCATTGTCTTGTTCCAGTGATAGCCGAGGTTTCGTGTTTCTGAGCTCCGGTTTTCAGGAGATTTAAAACTGCTGTAAACATTCTGCTCTTGCCATCCATGGTGTCAGCCTTAGGAGCCTTTTCTAGTACGAGATTTCAAACAAACCTAGTTCAAGTTATATGGATGCAAATGTGTTTTGTGATTTCAGGTGCTTAACTGTGATCTTAAAAGTTCTGCAGATCATTCGTCCATAATGGGCCTGGTTCTGGATGTTTTGGCTGTGGATAATTATTATTTTTTTTAAACAAAACTTCTGGCTCAGTCTCAAACAGCCAAGCTGGCCACAGTTGAGGTCTTTCAGCATTTGAACCCATCTCAGCGTGGGATGATGGTAAATGCTACGGTGGGAGGTTGCACAAAACAGCTCAGCCTCAACTCCGAGCGTCTTCACTTTGGGTAGATGATTCTGTTGTTGATATCAAACATAATTTGTGTTAATAATTGCCACTCTCGCTTGTAGAACAGAATATGCTGCACCAGTTTAAGTCCAGTTGATCCTTTCTGACTCCAACAGGCACCTCCTTGCTTCTGCTGCGGCAGCGGCAGCGAGTACAAAAATGGAAACTTAATGAATAATCAGCAAAGCCTACATTTCATTTGAACTAAAGTTTAGGGGTTTCAATGATCCTTAATGATGTTTACAGTTATCTAACAGCCACTTTGCAATATGACATTTCCTTTTCAATGACAGTAGCTCACGTTTGTCCCCCCTTTTCCAGCCAGCTTTCCTTTTCCTTTCCTGAGGCTCATATGAAAGCTGAGAGCTGTAAAGATATATATATTTTTGGTCAGTTTTTCATTAACTTTTTTGCTGGTAGAGAAGTATGTAGAAATAAATTAAAGCCATGTTTTTATATATAAAAAGTCGGGTAATGTTGCTGTTTAGGTGAGTGCAGTTAAACTTGGTCAGTAAGGAATCTTGCCTGCTCTCAAGAGGAGATTTTTACTACCTGGTTTATTGTATTAAAACTGTTTAAGTTTGAGGTTACCTCAACTTGTTTAAAGAATTTTTGTGGACTTGTACTGTATATTTGCGTAACTATGTCAAGCTTTTATTTAAGGTCATTTAACATGTACCATGTACATGTCATTTTACTATATTTCAGTGCATCATGCTTGTAACAGGCATTTCATTTATAATAAGTGATTAATTTGGGAGCTCTTCAGTAATTTATCTGCTATTCCTCAATTGGCATAATGTTAGATATCTACTTTAAATCACCTTGTAATTACTCGTCAAAATGCCTTAACTACCCTAACTTGACCAAAATAGGATTTTGGTGAGGGTATGGGGAGGATTATATTAATGAAGAAAAATTAATTAGTTTTGCGACACACGAACAGTGAGTGGTGGAGAACTTTGCACAACCTGTCAGTCCTTGTTGTTTTTAACCTGAACAAGCTGTCTCTGGCTGTCTTGGAGGAATGTATTCACATGCAGAACAGGGCTTTGTTTCTCGTTTGGGAGGGGCCTTTCTCTCCCACTCTGGCTGTCTTTACATTTATCCAGTATTTACTGCACGCTTCTGGATTAGAGCAGATTTGATCAATTCTTCTTTTCCTTTGCCCCCTGGCCCCGGGCTGTTCTCTGCTCTCAGCACAGTCCCCAGCCCTCCCTGTTCCCCTTCCCGGCTTTCCAGAGCTTTCCCTGGGGACGTGTGCGGGGCAGAGGGTCTGGAATCCCCCAGTTCCTCCCTGTCTGTGTCCACAAAGCCGTTTGCCTCATATCACACCATGACCTGTTGGGTTTTTTTAAATAAAGAACAAATTTGAGTTTTGATTTACAAATCATGAGTTTTTCCCTCACCGGGCACACCAAAGACCAGTAAAGCTTTTAGCTTTTCCATCTGTTTATAAAGCAATACTGTATTATAAAGAATTGATATTTTTATCACATGCTTGATTGTTTTGGGTTTTTTTTAAGACGTGCACTCTGAACATATCAAACCTGATTTTTTCCTATGAACTTAACGCTGTCTGCGCACAACTGATCTTTGGAGAAGGAAAGGACAGGGCCCATCCTATCAAAAATAATTCCCAGCGATGCATGAAGCAGGAACACGTGCTAGGGTTAGGTCAGTGGGAATGTTCACGAGAGGAATGTACAGGAGAGGTGTTTGCTGAGCCTTGGAGCTGCTGCAGAGGTTGTGGTTTGTGTTGGGAGCAGGGGCCTGGAGGAACAGGAGGAACCCAGGATCAATGGGTGTTTCATCCCCCAGGAACCCGGGATCGCTGCAGCAGCGGCCGCAGGGGTTGGGTGGGACAGGGTGGAATGTGGTGAACTGGAGAAGCTCTGTGGTTTTTGCTGTTTTCCTGGCTATCTTTGGGAGAGCTGCCACATACAGTCCTAAATGTCCTTGTCAGGCTGAAAACAAAACCAAACCAAAAACCAGATTTGGGACCAGGCAGTTACAAGTGAGTCAAGAAGGGAGGGGTGATGATCTGGCAGGGATGGGAGGATTTGGTGATGGAATTTCCATCCTTTGTCCAGAGGAGGAGCAGCTGCTGTGTGGAGAACCCGACTGTATGCAGTAGTTTCTGACAAAGATAGCTGAAACAATGAAGCAAATCTGAGTCTGTATCTGAGGATGCTTTTTTGTTGCTGTTAAAATGAGACTATCATCTATGCTTACCCAAGAGGCAATTATGTGAATTTCATGTCTGAGGTATAACTTATGCAGGAATAGTTCTGTAAATACATTTAAATAAATTGTAAAGATATTTAATAAATATAGTATTTATACTAAAATGTGCTTTTTAAAGTCAAGTTGCCTGCAAACCCTCTGTTTGTCGATGTGGGGATGTGGTTGGTGGCACAGAGGCACAGCCAGGCCGGGGGGCTGGGCTGTCACTGTGACCTCCCTGCCCTGCTCTCAGCCACACCTGGGTGACACCCAACGCCTTCTGCAGCAGCCTGGCAGACAGATAAGGCTCCTTTAATTGACTGGGAATTTCAGTGTTGTGTTCCAGTGGGACTTTGGAAACCTGCACTGCCCCTGATGTGTGCTGGGAGAGATACAGGGAAGGAGAAGAATAATGCAAGTCTCAAACACAAACCTTTATTTTTTAAATGCAGTCCTGTGACAATTTTGGTTTTTCAGTTAAAGGCTGCTTCTAGAGAACCTGTAAAACCTGAGTTCCCCCTTAACCAGAACAGCAGCTTCATGTGCCTGATGTGGTAACAGAGCTTGGATTCAAACTGAGCCTCTCTCCTGTGAGAGTGCTCTGAGGGCAGAGCCCCCAGCAGTTCCTGCAGAACACACAAACCTCAACAGAGTCAATCATGACCTAAATTTACAAGAGCACTGAGAGTTCCAGAATGTTCTGTGCTGCTGGGTCACAGCACCAGTGACAAAGGCTGGGCCTGCCCTGCCCTTCCCTCCTGGCTGCTCCCCACTGTCTGTCCCTGCACTACAGAACTGGGGAGCTCTGCAAGGCACCCAGCTCCTCCTCAGTGTCACTGGCTGTCACCAGACTCTGGAAGGTGTCACCAATGGCCTCCTTGTCCTTGTAAGAGACAGCTCCGAAGAACAAGGAGTGGAACTGGAAAATGCAATATTTGTACAGGTAAGAAATCTGTGATACAGAATTTGGGCATTAATTATTTGTGAAGCTTTTGCCACTCAAAGATCTTTCTGAGCCAGCAGCGTTTCCCAGTGAAACCCCCCTGCCCCACAGGAGTGTTTCCAGCTGTGCTGGGGTTTTCCAGCTGTGCTGCTGTGACACTGATCCCACTGAACCCCCCCAGTGCTGGCACCGTGGGGAGTTCCCTCACCTTGGCCTGAGGAGCCTCTGTGGCCTCTCCTGCTCCTGCTCTGCCTGGCTCATCCCTCTCGCTGCCTCTGGGAATGGTTTTTACCTCTTGTTTTGCCACAGCACTGAGGGGTTTTGCAGGGTCCATGCCTGGAGTGTTTCCCTTCTGCTGTGGCTTTTTGGAAGTGGCTGTGACTGCATTGCTGGCTCCATCCATGGAGCTCTGGTCAGATTTATCCATGCCAGGCCTTGAGCTGGATTGGACAGAGCAGAGCAGGTTAGAGCTGGCTTTGTGTTAAATGGAATATCCTGATTTTCTGTTTGGGGAAAGATTACAGCTTTAGAGGGGATTCTCAGCAGCTTCCCTCCTGCTGCACCCAGACCCTGAGGAGATGAGAAAGCAGCAGCTTGTACAGGATGTTCTCTCTGCACCCCCTTAGTGCTGCTGTGCTGCTGAGATGTTCCTGCACCCTGCAGTTCAGTTTTCCTGTGAAAAGCTGAGTTTTTCACCCTGCCCCCTCAGCCCCCGTTACCTGTCCCGGGGCCGTGGGCAGCAGGCAGGCTCTGGGGAAGCTGCCTCCCTCTCAGCCTCACACAGGGTAGCCAGGATAAAGCTGGCCTCCAGCAGCAGGTCCTCAATGCTGAAAGCAATGGGTCTGGACACAGGGAGTGAGAGCAAACAGCACAGGGAATTACAGACACTGATTCCACCCATGGAATTAAAAAGCTGAAAATCTCCTGTGTTTGCTGCTGAGGAATGAGAGGGGCTCCTGTAACAGATCTCACTGCTCCAATCAGCAAATGCTGTGCAGTGTCAGAGTCTGATGATAGCATTAAATATGTAATTATTTAAATTATATTTATTCAGAAAATGTATTGTTTCTTTAAAGTGCTAAATAAATAAATCATTGCCTGCAGGGGACTGAGAGCCTCAAGTGTCCAGGAAGTTTATATGGAATTACAAACTCTGGAGGGCAGGTCAGAAATGGCTTTGGGTTTGAAATGAAGCTGCAGTTCAGTGTTTATATGGAATTACAAACTGGAGTGCAGGTCAGACATGGCTCTGGGTTTGAAATGAAGCTGCAGTTCAGTGTTTATATGGAATTACAAACTGGAGTGCAGGTCAGACATGGCTCTGGGTTTGAAATGAAGCTGCAATTCAGTGTTTATATGGAATTACAGACTCTGGAGGGCAGGTCAGAAATGGCTCTGGGTTTGAAATGAGGATCTGCAGTTCAGTGTTTATGTGGAATTACAAACTGGAGTGCAGGTCAGACATGGCTCTGGGTTTGAGATATTTGAGATGAAGCTGCAGTTCAGTGTTTATATGGAATTACAAACCTGGAGTGCAGGTCAGAAATGGCTCTGGGTTTGAGATGTTTGAGATGAGGATCTGCAGTTCAGTGTTTATATGGAATTACAAACCTGGAGTGCAGGTCAGAAATGGTTCTGGGTTTGAGATGTTTGAGAGGAGCCCTGCAGTTCATTGCTTGTATGGAATTCCAGACTCTGCAGTGCAGGTCAGAATGGCTCTGGGTTTGAGATGTTTGAGGAGGTGCAGTTCAGTGCTCACTGGTGCCTGCAGGGCCCAGCAGGGCAGCCCCACACGTACCTGCCACTCCTGTCGAAGTGCACGGACACAGGGACGCTCGTGGCTTCAGAGAACGCCAGCAGCCCCTGCAGAGAAGGGCGGGTGAAGTGAGAGTTAAACCAGAACACTGATACTGGAATGGAAGTTTATCCCAGCTGCTGTTTACTGGCAAAAAGAGGGAAAATTCTGCTGCTTCTAAGAATGGTTTCTGTCCTTCCCTGCCAGAGCTTTGCCACAGGAGGTTCTGCATGGAGAACTCCCCTGGTCATGACACTTTCCCTTGCCCAGCACAGAAACCTCATCTCTGTTTCCGAAGTTTTGTTTGGCTTTCAAAGGGCCCTGGGGTTTAAAGCTGACCCTCACCAGGTGGTGAAACCCTGCTGCAGTCAGGGCTGGTGGGGCACAGCTCAGGGCCATTCCACAGTGACCATCCCATGTCCTGGTCCACTCAGGCAAATTAAAGGGAAATGGGTTTTCTTCCTAGAGAAATTCTTACTTTACCCTCAGTTCTTTAAGGCAAAATGTCACTTCAGAATCTACTCCAACTTGAAAGTAGTCAAATTCCTCTGGACTGAGCTGTATCTCAGTAAGCATTGTCCTTGAAAAGTCTGTTTGAGATAACAACAAAGTCAGGGACTCACAGCAGTGAAGTTTGAACTCAACAAAGCTGTGATTGTGACCCTGAGGTTTTACATAAGCATTGTTTGAACAAATAATTGTGTTTTTATAGTGGCTAATATAAATAAATGTTTAGCTTATATGCATATTAGAATTAAGTAAAATCCTCAATTTATTTGCAGTACACTGGATAGATTTGAATGGATTTTAACAGAACCTACTCCATGTTCTGTGTGTGATCTAACCTTACACCTGCTGCTGTTCTTGCAGACCTGCTCCTTCCACTGGCACCCATCACAAACAGCATTCCCAGCTGCTATTGTTGCATGGATGGGAAGCCCAAAGCCCAGCGTGACTTGAAGAGATTAATCAAAATTACTGACAATCAGCAGAGCACAATGGAGGGGGACAGAGGCTCTTTGTTTTAAATCACAATCTTTTCCTGACACAGGAAAGTGGCAGCAGGAAATTGGCTGTTCATTTTCAGGTATTCAGTTTTTGTTACCATGAGGTGACTCCTGGGTGTGTGAGGAGAAAGTGAGAGGGGCAAATTCCTGGTGTGTGACAGTCCTGGAGAGCTCAGAGAAATCCCACAGCAGGAAGTGCTCCAGGCTGTTCCCACTCTTCCCCTTCTCTGTTTTATCTCCCAGAGTTCAGTCAGGCCCTGGTCAGAGGCTCCCTGTCCTGTGGCAGGGCTTTGATTGCTGTGGAACCCCCAGGAGGGACTCACAGGACACAGAGGTGCTGCAGGCAGGGAGATTCTCAGCACCTCTCAGTGCCCTCCCTCCCTTCCCTCCCTGGCTCTTGGGATCTCTTCACACTTGTACCAATTCTTCACTTCATTTCTTACCATAGTCCTGGTAAGTGAATGTTTCTAAAATCACCAGATGTGTCATTCAAAATGCAATTTCTTTGTTTGCCCCGTTTCACCCCAGCCAGTTCCTGCTCCTTGATCCTTCTCTCAGCCTGTTCCCAGCCCTGAGCTCTTCCCAGGTCATTCCCCCAGCTTTGGTCACAAATATGAAAATCATCTCTTTATTACATGATTACAAGGAGCTCTACTTCCAAACCACAATTTCATCTTCAAAATTGGAGTCACCCCCCAAGAATCTCCAGCTCCTTCTCCCCCTCCTGGAGATGTGACCATGGCAGAACAGTGCAGGGCTTGCTGACACTGTGCTGTCCTCAGACTGAAATATCCTCTCTAATGATATCAATTCTATAATTGTGGTATTCAGATTTAAATAGTTCTTTTTAAAACATGAAATTATCCTCTTTTTCCTGGCAGTTGCCAGGCTGCTGCTCTTGCAGCACAGTAATTACCTCTTTCAAAGCCTACAGCAAGTGGCATAATTTATTTCAATTGGCTGCTCAGTCTGAGATCTGCCACTGACACCAGGAAGATGTTTCAATTTATTTAAATTGATTTAATTTATTAAAACCAGAGGGTGGCAGCATGACTTAAAATCTCTCTCTATAATGTTCTGTTTAAAATGTCATCCAGCCATAAAATTCATCCCACATTTATGTCGTGACAGTTTTTATTCTTGGAGTTCACCTCAAAAAAAAAGTTAAAATCCCAAGTATTGGTTCACATTTTGAATTTCCTTACCTGTGTCTTCCTCAGTGTAACTCTTGAAAGAAACTTTCATTGGAGTTACTGACAGGGTTATTTCTTCCTGACTGCTTGGGAAGTGGATCATCACATCAGCCAGCAGCCTGTAAAATGTCATTTAACACTGAAATCATTCTATCTATGACTTTTTAGCATTTGTTACATTAGAAAGTAAAACTCAAAAAAATATTTCTGTGTTTGCTACCTGGAGTGGACTTTAAGAATGTTTGGACACATGTGCTTTGCAAAAACAGCCTGCAAGGGATCACACTCCTGAAATGTCAGGTTGTAGGTTTTTACAACACCTGAGTATGAAGGAAATGAACAAAAATCAGTGCTTGGCTGTAATTTTAGTTTTGTTTTTTTTTTTTTTTTTAATATTAATTGTTCAATAGAGGAAGTAACCAAGTGACTTAGCCCAGCTATATGGAAATAACTCACCACAAACAGGAAAGAATCCATCTGCCATCCTACACTCCCTCCATCCCATTAGCTGTGCCTGGACAGAATCTGAGATTCTAAAGGATCCACAAGAAATAAACCAACAAATACAGGGTGGGAAACAGCCCCAGTAATTAACTGGTAAAATAACAGAAATGGGGGTGGAATGCAGAACTCAAACCCTGCAGATCTCTGGGTAAGGATGTGCTGAGGGCTCAGCTCTCTGCACACATAATTCAGTGTATTACCCATACCAGTGACCCCACTGGATCAGTGACGCACCAACCCTGCCTGCAGCACAGCACAGCCCTGGGGAGATGAGGATTATTCAGAATTCTGCAAAGGCTGATGAGCATCCCCAGTGCTGCTGGGCTGAGGAGGGCAGAGCTGTGATGATGATGATGATGATGATGGCATTAATTGTGGTTTGTGTGAGCTCACCGTGCCTGCAGAGCAGCTGGAAGGTGACGTGCTGCTCACTGGGGCTGCTGCAGATGCTGCATTTCTCTACATTCCTCTCCAGCACATTGACACATCTAAACACGGGGAGAACTGACTGAAAACCAAAAATAAAATCAGTGCAGAGGTTACCCTCTGAGCAGCTTTGCAAGAAATAGAATTTCCCTGGGTTTGTACCCTGGTTTATCTCAAGCTGCTGCTCTAAAGGCTTCCCCAAACTGCTCTGGGAGAGCCCAGGCTGATCCTCACCCACCACAATTCCAGCTGGAAACTGGGTTAATTTGCTGCTGTGTGTAACAACTCACTAAAATGTACCTTAATTATCAATTTACAGGGGAGGGAAAGCTGCTTCTCCTTCTGACAGGGCTGGGTCCCAGCTGTCCAGCAGTAATGCTGGAAAAACATGGATGAGAAGAACACACAGGCATATGCTGACCTCGAGGAATTCACTGATCTTAAGGCAAGCTGGAAATGGAATCACAGAGTCATTAGGGCTGGAAAAGAATTCAACATCACTGACTCCAACCACTGAGGGAACAGGAGTAAAATAATTTATTAATTCAAAACTTGAACCTTTTAAAAAGAGCTTCCTCTGGGCTTCAGTGCCAAAACCTGGAAATTTACATCTCAAAATTATCTTTACAAATTTAAAATGTGTATTTTTATTTTATTTTAATTTTTTAAAATAAAAATAATTGAGTTACCCAAAGACCCAGAGCTCAGCTTGTGTTTGAGGCATTTGAAGGACATGATCCATACAAAGACACCTCAAAAATCCCCCAGGTATAAAACCAAATATCTCCACTTGTGATTTTCCATGCTCCCAGTGAGCCAAGGAGAGCCGATCACTTTTACCTAAGGAACCTCTGGAGAAAACACTAATTCTGCTGGAAATGGGGTTTGATTAATCAGAGGCATTAATGGATGTGTTCTTCCTGTTGAGTCACAACAGTACAAAACATGTTGTTTTCACTCCTGTGTGGTACAAAATCCAAACCTTGTGACCTGTGACAACAGAACTGAACCCCCTGGCATTAATCCAGATGTCGTGGACAGCAAAAAATCAAAGGATCGTAGGGCAGAGTAGGAATTAAATCTTCCACAATAATTAAAATCACAGAAAGCATGGCATGTGTCCATAATGAAAGCGGAGGGAGCTGAGAATGTGATGGACTGAAAGGTACCTGTGGAAAAACACAATATCCAATTGGATAAATATTGGGTTTATAATAAAGACTTTTAATTTAGAATAAATAAAATTCACTTACACCTTTTTCTAGGGGGTCAAACCAAAATTCATCACTAATCCGTGCTATGGCATGTATTGCTCTTCCAAACACTGCCAGGAAAAGAAAACACTGCAATACACATTCCAAATTAAAATAAAAAAGATGAAAAGGTGGCACTACACTTTCTCCTGAATAATCCAAGAGGAAGCATTACAAATTTCTTATACATTTGAAAGGAAATGGATGGTGGAAACTGTTATTTTTTCTATTTAATTAAAATTTTAATTATCCAAACCCTCAATGTTTTGGAAAGCTGCCTCTGATGAGGCACCTTGGACGTTCCTTTGCAGTGCCTGGAATTACCACAAATTAGGTCAAACAGACAAAACTCCACCGGGGCTAGAAATGACATTTAGCAGGGGGAAGCCTGATAAGCAAAGGGACGTGTGGAGAGATGGAATCCTGAGAACACAACGGAGCCCAGCAGAGGCCCTGCGGCAGAGGCAGAGCAGCTTTTCTCACAGAATGGAGCGGAGCTGTGTCCCTGGAAGTGCACAGGGAACACGGAGCCAGGCCTGGCGTGTCCCCCTGGCTGTCCCCAAATTCTGCCCATCCGAACATGCCCCAGCCGCGCACAGCGCCCGACCCCGCCGCGGCGAGGGAGAGCCGGATCCCCCGCTCCGCTCCCGGGGCTCGTGTTCCGCCCAGGGCAGTGCCAGGGTGCCGCTTTCCGATCCCCCCGTGTGCCGGGCTCCCTGGGCCCCGGTACCTCGGAGCTGCGCCCCCCCGATCACGCACTTCATGGCCGCCCCCCCCTCCCCTCACGGCCGCCCCCCCATTCCCCTCACGGCCGCGGAGGGCGGGAAGCGCCGTGAGGGCGGGGCGCGCGCGGCGCGGAGCCCCGGATGTGGAACCCGGGGATTGTGGAAATGCGGAATTATGGAATTGTGAAATAATGGAATTGTGGAATTGGGGATTGTCCCGGGTTACCCGCAGGGATCTTCAGCCCAACCCCTGGTCCTGCACAGACACCCGACAATCCCACCCTGTGCGTTCCTGAGAGCATCGTCAAACCTCTCCTGGAGCTCTGGCAGCCTCCGGGCCGTGCCCATTCCCTGACAGTGCCCAGCACCTCCTGAGGGAGAACCTTTCCCTAAAATCCACCCTAAACCCCCCCTGACACAGCTCCAGCCGCTCCCCGGGTGCTGCCGCTGCCCCAGAGCAGAGATCGGAGCTGCCCTCAGCAGCACCAGCCCAGGGACAAAGCCGGGAAACGCCTCCGACCCAAAAGAAGAGAAGAGCTGAGCATGGGAAGCAAGAGAATCATTAACAATAGAATACTAATTAATAATGTAACTATGTATCTTGTAGCCAATGAACACCAACCGTTTTGTTTCCTGAAATGCATAAATAGTAAAAAGAATTGATAGTTGAGGTGCTTGGTTGCTTGGTTTGTGGAAGACCACGGAGCGCCTAGGCTTGCGCAGCTCTGAAATAAATAAATAAATAAATAATTTAAAAAAAAAAAAAAAAACAGTGTTTGTCCCTCTTTGTCCTCATTACCGGCTCGTTTTGGGCACAACTCTCGTTTCACCTGTGCAAAAAAGCAAAAACCCAGCCGGCGGGACGCGGCACGGCCGCGCTCGGCGCTCTCTTGTCCCTTCGCAGGCGCCGTAGCGGGGGCGGTGCCGGGCGGTTCCGGGAGGGCCGGAGCGGAGCGGGCGCGATGGTGAGAGCGGGGGGACCCCGGGACCGCCCCGGGACCCCCGGGCACACTGGGACCCCCGGCACGGCCACAGCAGCCGGGCCCGACCCCCCAGGCTGCGAGAGAGCGGGCGGGAGGGCGGCCCCAGCTGAGGCGAGGCCCCCAGGGGGGTGAGGGCCGGGCCGTGACTGCAGGAGCTCCTTTTATAATTTATATTAATTTCATCGTAATCGCATTAATTTTTTTTTAATTATTTAACGCTTCTTTCATAACATCGACAATTCATTAATTATGATTTGCCCATTCATTTGGCTGTGTTTTCTCTTCTGTTGCTTCTCTCGTTTAACATTGATCATGTTCCGCCCTGTTTCTCATGCCCTGCAATCAACTCCTCCATTCCCACCAGGCTGGGCACAGAGTAAGTCACTCCTCGGCTCTCCTAAAACACCCCGGGAAGGGAAAGGCTCCTCGTGTTCCTCCGAGCCGCTGGCAGCTGGCTCCGATCCATTTAGGGGCTTCTGGCCAAGCAGATCACACCCAAAATTCAGGTTTTTTATAATTTTTCTCCGCTGCTTTAAGCTCTAAATACGTGTGGTGATTAAACCCTGCAGTGCTGTTTGGTTACTGCAATGAATGGGAGCTGAAATGGGAATTTTGAGCAAGCGTGGGGCTGGCATCAGTCTGTGCTGAGAGCATACGCTGCTGGCTCGGTGGGGTGTGAGTGGCACGGTAATTTTATTAATTTTATTAAACATCAAATACATAGCTGGTACTGCACACTGAGATCCCTCAGGCAGCAGTAATCAATCTATCTATTGTCACTTATTAATCCAAATCATTGTTACCCATTTGTTACTCAACAAAGACCATCAAAAATGCCTTTTTTTTTCCCTCTTGGTTTTATTTTGTATTGGTCACTCATTGATTAAAAAGCTTTTGTATTGCATTACCAATACCATCAACCATCTGTCTCCAGATGGGTTTGATGGTGGCACTGAGATGTTCTTAATCTAAAAAAAAAAAACCTAAATCAATCAAAAATACCCCCCAAGCTCCCTCTGCCTTCTTGAGGACTGTTAGCCTCATGGCCTAAAAACCCATGAGGGAAAAAATCTTTAAAAATACAATTTCCTAGCCTAGTTATATGTATTTCTAGAGATAAATCTGGGCTGTGTCCTTTACAAACACATTTGAGGGTGTCCTTTAGGAACTGCCTCACCAACATGAAGGGGAAGATAAAAATCTCTTTAATTTGGAGCCATTCCTTGGGTTCCTAGGGCTGAGTGTCTCCAGACCCAGGGTTTGCCCAGAGCAGTGCCATAACATTCCCTGCTTTACAAAGCTTCTCATGCCCTTTTTGCACAATTAATTTGCCCTGTGTTGCTTGCATTATTGCTTTATTTGCAGATTTAAAGCCATGGCCTTGCATCATCTCAGTCCTTGATTTTGAAGCCCTTCACTACATTTTTATTCTGGCATCTGAAACTGTAAATGGATAGAAGTGGTGGCAGTGGCCTGGACTGGCTTCTCTGCAGTGCCCTGTTTCTATTTTATTGTTATTTTTCGTTTTTTTTTTATTTATTGTTCAGTTTTTCAGTGATTTCTACCATGAGGACTCTGAACACTCTTCTGGCCAGCTATTAACACTTGCTGCAAATTTGCTGCTTTTTAAAAATATTTTGGGTTTGTTTTTTTTTTTTTTTTAAGTAAGGGGAGAGAAGCTTGGATGAAGAGATTTATTTAAGAGAAGTGGCTGCAGTTTAGCCAGGTTTGAGAGAGAAAAAGCCGTGGGATGGTTTATGGCAGCTCCCAGATTTGTGTAAAATACATCAGGTAATACAACAGGAAAGTGTTAACAGTGCAAGTATTGCAGTGTTGGCCTTCAGCAACAAACCACAAATAATTCTGGTTGTGAAGCCCCCTCTGCTCATGGCCTGGCCAAGCCCCTGGTGGAGCAAAATCCCATCCCCATCCTCACTGCAGCAGCTTTGGGTCCAAGTGCCAGGCTGGGGACACTGCAGGGGACACTGCAGTGCTGGCTGTGCCCTAACCCTGGTGTGTCCCCTCTCTCTGTGTGTCATCTCTCCCTGTCTCTCTGTCCCTGTGTGTCCCCTCTCTCTGTCCCTGTGTGTCCCCTCTCTCTGTCCCTGTGTGTCCCCTCTCTCTCTGTCCCTGTGTGTCCCCTCTCTCTCTGTCCCTGTGTCCCCTCTGTGTCCCCTCTCTCTGTCCCTGTGTGTCCCCTCTCTCTCTGTCCCTGTGTCCCCTCTCTTTCCCTGTGTCCCCTCTGTGTCCCTGTGTCCCCTCTGTCCCTGTGTCCCCGCAGTTGGTGCTGGTGCTGGGTGACCTGCACATCCCCCATCGCTGTAACAGCCTCCCGGCCAAGTTCAAGAAGCTGCTGGTGCCTGGCAAGATCCAGCACATCCTGTGCACGGGGAACCTCTGCACCAAGGACACCTATGACTACCTCAAGACCCTGGCTGGGGATGTCCATGTTGTCAGGGGGGACTTTGATGAGGTAATGGCTGGGGTTTTGGGGTGTCCTTTAAGGTTTTTACATTTGGAGTTCATTCCAGTAAAAATGATGGAGTGAATTCCTGAGCTCTCCCCTTCTGGGTGGTGCAGTAGTGTTGGGTTTAAATAGAAATCTCTCTAATCTGGGTTTGGTTTATTCTCTTTATTTTTAGAACCTGAATTATCCTGAGCAGAAGGTTGTGACTGTGGGACAGTTCAAAATTGGGCTGATTCATGGCCATCAGGTGATCCCCTGGGGTGACATGGCCAGCCTGGCCCTGCTCCAGAGGCAGTTTGATGTGGACATCCTCATTTCAGGGCACACACACAAATTTGAGGCATTTGAACATGAAAATAAATTCTATATCAACCCAGGATCAGCTACAGGAGCCTACCATGCCTTAGAGAAGTAAGTGAATGTTGAGGGGATTTCTTTGTTTGGGTATTTGGGGGTTTTTTTGGTACAAAACTGAACTACAAACTGGGTTAATATTTCTGATTTAAATGTCAGGGAGATGATAGTTAGAGTTGTATAACTTACACAGCTGTGCTTGCTCAATCTCCTGGGCTGAAACATGAAATGCTCACAGCCTTAGATCTCTGTGCAGTACTCACAGAATTAATTCCCATTTTTCTTTAACTGATCTCTGAATAGTGGTAAAACACTAAGGGGGTTTTAGACACACAATCACTGTCAATTGTTTCCTCTCTTTCCAGCAACATCATTCCTTCATTTGTGCTGATGGACATCCAGGCTTCTACAGTAGTTACATATGTCTATCAACTAATTGGAGATGATGTGAAGGTAGAAAGAATTGAGTACAAGAAATCCTAAACAATGTTTTTGCTTGTCTGGTATTTTTACCATCTCCTTCTGAACTGCAAGTTCCAAACTTGCTTGCTCGTTTACAGCCCTGCCCTGTCTCTAACAGCTCAACAATGTAACTTCTTGTCATGAATTTAAACAACCTTGTGTTTGCTTTTCTCTGTATGATTTGTAAAATATTCCATGAAGATAACTGTCTGAATACTGTTCCTTAATGTAATAAACTCCACTTCATAGAAAAGCTGAGCCTGGTGAGTGTTGTTGGGAAGGAATGCAGCAGTTGTGGTGGTTTGGGGTTCCCCTTCCAAGGGGCTGGAACAGAGATTGAGGGCTCTGGGACCAGGCTGGGTTTGCTCCAGAATCCAGTTTCTATTTAAATGTCCCAATTTTACATTCTCAGCTAAGTTCAAGGACTAAAATGGTTTGATAGACTCTGGAAGGATTACAATTACCTTGTGATTTCAGTAGAGTTTGAGTCTTTCTCTGATCAAAGCACTTTCAGCTCTCCCTGTGCTTCCCTGAGTGATGATCTCACTCAATCCATAACCAGTGAGGAGAGGTTTTCCTTTATTTGTGCTCACATCTGACACCCCATTTCTTTTTGTTTTGCTCTTTGCTCCTTGCACAGAGCTCTCAATGATGGAATTCCATCTCTGTGGAATTCCATGTGACTCTTAAAGCTGCTGAGGATAAATCTGGGTTGTTCCAGGAGCAGCACCCTGTGGCTGCTCTGTTCCCACAGCTGCAAGGACCCGAATGTATTTAACAGCTCCCCTTTCTCACAACTGCTGTAACTTTCCAACAAAACAGATTTTTATCTTTGCCTCCCCCAGCAGAATGTTTAGGATGGGGGCAGTTCCCTTGGCCTTTGGATTATGACTTTTCCATCAGCTGGAACACTTCTTTCTGTGTCATGAGCTGAATAAATGACTCATTTCTATTCCAAATAAATCTGCTTTGCCCTGGACAAAAAGACATTTCAGGCTGGTGTCTCAAAAACCTCTGGCTAATTGCACTTCATGCAGTCAGAGCAATGTTGAAAAGGAAACCTTGGCATGTGAAATTCAGGGAATTCCACTGACTGGAACATCAGTTTATTGACAAACTCATAATTAAGAGCTTTATAGAATATTGTAAGGGGCTAAAATAGATGCATAAGTTTATTTCTTTTTAATTTACACTGTAAGGCTAAAATTGACACACAAGTTTATTTGTTTTGACTATAAGGCCAAAATGGATACCTAAGTTTGTAAAGTTACACTTAAAATTTGTCCACAAAGTATTTTACATGAACCACAGCCCCTGCAGTTTTAGAAAAGTTCATCACAGTGATGACAAAGTTCTGTTGCTGTGGGTGACATCTCAGAGAGGTCCTGACAGCAGGACTGAACATGGGGAAGTGCAGAAAGGAAATAAACTTCACTCCTTCCCAAAGTTAAAGTGCTGAGTATGAACTGATGACTCCAAACAGGAAATTCTGCTGAGTCTGAACTGTTTGTGTGGGGTGGAGAATGGAGGAGAAGCAGCCTAGAACAGCTGGTAAAGGTGGAGAGGTTGTGGATGCTCCTGGTTAAAGCTTTGGGGTTTTGGTCTGGTGTTGTGAATGCACAGCCCAACCTCCTGCCAGGACAGGCAGGAGGGAAAAGGGGAAATCTCAACCCAATTTATGGCACTTCCAGGACACAGGACCCCTCTGATTCATTCAGGTACATCTGGAAGGTCAAAGAACAACATTAACAGGGCTTGGGAGAATGGGATGTGATCCAGGACACAGATGTGGTTCAGGTAAAATAAATTATTTGAATTAATGAAGGGATATTTCATTATATACAGTATATGTTACTAAAGTAGATCAGCTAAAAAGTATTTTTGCAAGAAGTTGGGTGCAAATCTTTAGAGAAAAAGGAGAAAATACTGCCTGAGGAACAGAGATGGTTTGTTTTACCTGCAGAACGTGAGATGCTGGGACATCTGCCACAGCAGGGTTTCCACATTTCTTTTGATACTCTTGAATCAGGGCTGTTGCATCATCAAGGCTGTAAGAGGCAAAACTGGATCAACTTTGTCAAATTAAACTCTCTAAAAAGCCAAAAATTTTTACAACAGAAGCAAAAAACCAAAGTATGATTCCATAGCTTGAAGTCAGATGGGCCCTGTCATTTCCCAGCACAGAAAACAAGCCTGGCTTTTCCTTGGGGCTGTTAATAAAATCAGTAAATACAGAATTTCAATGTTTCTTGGTTCCTGTCCCAGTCTGAGTGTGGGATCAGTGCCCTGCAATGCCAGGGCTGGCTCTGAGTGTGCCCAGGTGTGAGAGGAGCCCCAGGTGCTCTGAGTCCCCAGGTGAGTGGGGCCCAGCCCACCCCCTCTGTGATTTGAGTGGAGCACAAAAAGGGTTTTTAGTTCCTGAAAGCTTCATGGCAAAACCACCAATTCTCAAGCCTTCAGTACAGGCAGCTCATTTATTTTTTCTGAGTGTTTTTATTGCTGGAGTTGTGACTCTGTGATGCCCTGAGCTGCATTCACCTAAAGGTAAGGTCAAGGTTTTGATTATTTCACTCTGGTTGTTTCTATTTTAACTGCATTTGATCTGCTGCTAGTCCAGGCTTAACAATCTGTTACTTGGTCTTGAATGGCTGTAAAACTCTGTCCTAGTGAGGTGAAATTTATTTCTTTATTAACTTAGCAATACTTAAAAATCCTTGGAGACTAAGTATTAGAAAACCTCCATGACTTCAAACAAAGGAAAATTAAATAAAGCTGAGATTTAATTCCTGCAATTGCTACCAGTTACAGCTTTTTTTTTTTTTATCATTTATTAACTTACCAGTTGTTTTTGGCAAAATAATCCACCAGCTCTTTTATTCTGTGGGTGTTTATCAGGTGTTGCTTTAGCAGTGGATAATATTTGGTTTTCCAGAACTGTTCATAGAGCTTCTCTTTGATGATACTGTCCAAAACCAAAGAGCTGATCTGTGGATTGAAGTGTTAGTAATGAGAAGTGTTAATATTTTAGACAAATGAGATTTTACTTTTGAATGGAAAGAGCTCATAGTTTTCATATTGGACTCTACAGAGAATAGGGGGGTTTTTACATTTTATTAAGTGCTGTGAAATGGCAGATTTTATGGAAACTGATCCCAGATTCAGAGAGGGAAGTGAGTTAAACTTGGCCATGGGGAGGCAGCTCAAGGCAAGGCAAAAGTGCAGTTTCCTAAACCCTTTGGCCTTTTAGCCTCAAATATTTATTCAGGAAAAACCAGGTGGTTCTGCTGCCCTTCCAAACAGGGACAGCCCAGAACGTGGCACTGGGTATGTACAAGAAGTTTCTCAGCTGAACAACATAAATAAAAATACATTTCACAAGTATTTTATATTTTTTGAGCCTTCAAAGTCAAGTAAGGCTGGGCAAGATCAGAGGAGAGAGAAGGTTCTGTGAACACTTTTCTATCAAAAAAGCCCCCAAGTCAAAGGAAAGTGAAGTAAATTTGGTTTATTCACCTGGGAAGCAAATGCTACCAGTTCTCCTGTGTCCATGTGTTCATCCAATTGCTGCAGCACAGTTTCTTTCTTACAGGTTGATAACAAACCCTTGTGAAAATAAGTTACAAAACATTATTATTCTGTGATTGATTAAAGCAAGAACACTCCCTTCAGAACAGGTATTTGATTTATTCAGAATTCTTTTGAAATTTTAGGTGCAAATACAGAATTACCAAACCAGGATCTGTGTGCTTGGACTGAAAGTGTTGCTTTGAACTCTCTCAAATGGTGTTTTGCTGTAGCTGTCAGAGGATTGCTTGACTCCTTGCCAGCAGGTTGTGTCTTACACTGCAGCTGTGATTTGGGGAAACCTTTCTGAGAGGAACTTTAATGACTGGAAGTGAAAGAATTTCAGGTGCCTTTACTGGTCCCAGTTTGCTGGTGGCAAATATGGGAACAGCCTCTAATGCTTCATCTGGGAGAACAATGCAGAGCAGAAATTAATGGAAACAAATGAGAAAAGCAGGGAAAATGTCAAGGTTCATGGATGGTGAGGACATGGCTGTAAGGCAGAAGGTTTCTATCAGAGCTGGTGCATATCAAACATCTTCCTTGGAAGTCAGGAGCTTTCAACTCAACACCCTTCCAAAGCAGGATTCAGTGCTTTGCTTACCATCTGCTCTGGCTTGGGTTTTACTGGTTTTTTTTTTTGGTTTTTTTTTCCCCATGTGCTTAATGGGTGGGATCTCATAATACATCCTCAAATTCTCTAAAGGCAAAGTCAGATGACAAAGCCACTGGGGATGACTGAAGTTTTTAAAGAAAAAGGAGGAAGTGTTCACATGATCCCTTGAGAAGCCTTTGAGGGTGGCAGATGTTGAGCATTTATCAGCAGGGATGTGAAGTTAACTGGAATTCCCCTCTGACTGCTCTGGTGAGCAGGACATGCTTGAGGACATTTCCCTTGTAGAGACAGGACACAAAACTTCTGATTTACCTGAATTTGCTGCTCTCTCTTCTCAGAGTGAGGAGTGACCAAGAGGCAGCCCAGGGCAAAAGCTGGCAGGTCCAGCTGGGTGTATTGTTTGGCAATTCCAACAATATCCAGGTCAGCCAGGACAGGACACCTGCAGGGGATCAGGAGGGAAGATCTCAGGGCAGTTTTGCTGAGTTGTCAGCAAACCTGCCCTGAGATTTGGGAGTCAGGTAAGACAACACATTTCTGCCTCACATTAATGCTAGAAGTGGCCAAGCAAATTGAAGTTTCACTGCATACAAACCCATGTGGAGTTTCTAAAAGCCCAAATCACACCTCCAGTTTCTCTTTCCAAACAGCCCATTTTGAGGGCTATTGTTGGTCACCTGCCCAGAGCAGAGCTTTGGCACAGATGTGTGTGCACAGCAGTGTAGGATCCCTCTCCAGATAACCTTCAGGGTCCTTCCCAAGCAAAACCTAATTTATTTGCCAGCTAACTTTGGTTCAAGTTGGGCTCTCTGAGCTCTGGTGGGTGTTTTGAGCAAGTCAGAGTATTGAGGTTCTGAAATAAGGAAAGAATGAGCTGTTCACACTGCAAAGGCAGTGCAGGCCTGGCTCATGCACAGAAAGTTCAGGGGCAGGGCTGGGAGCTCACCTGAGCAGGAGCACAAAGCCCTCCCTGCACTCCTGCAGCTGCCTGGGACTCGGTGGGCAGGAGGCTGAGAAAGAGAAAGAAACAGAACAAGGTGGAGTAAATCTACAAGCAGGTTACTCCAGGAGCA